AAAGTCCAAAGATAGTTGTAAGTAAGGCTGTAAGTCTTTCTTATGACCTGAACAAACACCAATACTTCTGAAAAATTGAAATACACTGATTTAAATGGTTATAGGTTTTATATTTCAATGTCTGATCTCGATGGAATTCAGAACTGTAGACAATTTTGAATCCTTAATCTCCCACTCAGAATTAGCCTTTGTTTTCCACATTCCTCAGTTGGTTGTTTTTGTTCTCTCTCAATAAGTACGGATTATCCATATATGGATATGAAATTCTCTTTTTAACATATGCACACACACAGCAGTGGGAAACAGGCTACCTAGGCCAGCCGACCCTCAGCTCCTAACGCTGCCATTTAAGAACATTCACTTGTCTTTCAGCCTACCCTCTGCTCAGGGTTTTAAAATTCACCCCCTTCAAGACATTTGTTTTCCTTGAATGAAAACATGAAATTACAGTGCTGCTAAAGCACTGTCCTTCAGAAAGGTTGCTCCTGGAGTTCTCTACTTCAGGATTTCAGTACAGAGATTTTCTTTTGAGTCAGCAGTAGTAGCAACAGCCAGCCAAGTTCTAAAATATATATTTAAGAGCCAAACAAAATACTTATCTGACAGAACTCACTCATCATTCTTGCAGAGGCTCTGATTACCGTGAACAAAAACCATGCAGTTTAATTGGAAATAAGGTAAAATTATGCCAGAAGTAAATTATTCCTACAAAAGAACAAGCATCATAGTTTCACAATAAAACCACACCTACCAAATGCAAGGAGTTATTACACTCAGTCTTCTCCACAGTATGTCACACACAATAGGCTTTCTACATAAAATTTTAAAGCCAACATTGGAGCAAAAGGCTATTTGTTACATTAAAAGGTAACACTGTCAGTCCTGGTATGCATCAGCCACAGCAAGAGGGTAAGACTGCTCAGTTGCTATATGTTTTGCTTTCATTTAACATAGAAATTTGTATATCCTAGCAACACAGAATACCTAATACTTAGTAGCTTTGTAACACATAATTGGAGAATCTAAGCTATGTGAAAATGTGCTACGTAAACATTGCTTTTTGTTTTACTGTTTAAGATTTTAAAAATATTTTAGTAATTATTAATTCATATAGAACATTTAAAAATTACCAGACACACACTATGCAATTTATGACATCAAGATTGGAAAAGCAATAGAAACTGATAGATTGTTAGAAGATAACAGTACTGGCTATAAAAATTTCTCTGATTTAGAAAATTACGGTGTAATGCCAGCTCCTACAGTAGGAAATAAATTTTAGAAATACATACAAACATGCTTTTAAATATAATTAAAAACCACAAACCAACAACAAAAAAACCCAAACCACAGCTACTTGACAGCACTTACATACAAAATATTATAGGCTTCTCAAAGACATATTTAAATGATAACAACATGCTATTTATAAAACATTGCACAGAACATGGCATATTCCATGTTACTGTATTTGAAATTGCTGGTTTACAGAGTCCGCCTAACTTTCGTTAAAAATTCAGACTGTATGAATAAAATACTGATTTCTCTGACATGTAACAGCAGTTCATGTAGGGCTTTTTATAGTTTTGTGCACTATAGCTCTTTCAAAAAAGCTATAATACTAAGTAATTATGTTAGCTTAGGTACAAAACATCTTCCTAATGAAATGTATTATCTAATATATGTTTTGTAAATTTCTAGGTTCTTTAAATGTGATGTTACCTTTTCCAATAAAATGAGTTATTTTTCTTAAATTTCACGAGTTTGTTAATTAACAAACAACATTTAGATTACAAAGGAACTGAACAATTGTTCTTTGGAAAAGGAGAAGGAATGGGATATTAATAAACAGGTCTTTCATGGAATCATTCTGCAGCTTTTCTAGGTAGCGAAAGGATTTCCATTTCAATACTGAATAAAAAAGCTGTAACTTTTAGCTAAACCATGTGTATATTTGAATATACCATATTCTCCAACCACGGCAGCTCTGCAAAATGGTTTCTCTGGTATTATTTCCCCAAAGAGTATTGTTTTTTTTCAGAAGCATGCTATCTAGAGCAGTTTTGATTAACAGAGCACACTGTCTTCTTTTCAGCAAAGTCTTTATTTGTACAATATCTTATATAAATATTTGTCTAAAAACTTTTCTGTGTAGCATAACTACACTCTTTTCATCACGCTAAACTGATACTGTGAACAAAATAAAGTTTTGGGGTACCAAAGGAAAGCTTTAAAATGTATCTGGTGGATTCACAATATTTTTGTTTACCTAACCAAGCCAATACTGAAAACAAGTACTTCTGTATTCTACTATTCTACGTGCTTCTATATGTTTTACTTCTATAATTACTGTAGTACAACTTTGCTGCATCACAACACCCTTTAACTAAAAGTATAAATTTCATAAAGCATTCAAGATAAGGCTTGAATAGACAATTTCAGACAATAAACTTGTCCCTCTATTACAAGTTTAGAAGCACTTCTACAACTAGAAACAGTCCAGGCTTTTTTTTTTTTAATACTGAAAATAAACAAGCACCTGTTAAAGCCTTCAACTGCCACAACATCACAGCGAAGGCAAGAGTGGCATTTAAGTCAGTCTTCTCTGCAGTAGTTGCAGAGAGCCAAATTACTTTTCCATGACCAACACCTTGTCCTGAAGGGATTATGCCCTTCTTTGGCTGGCTCTTTCCAGTAATTACATGAACACAGCTCACAGCGTGCTGTTCCCAGCTGAGCACAAGGTAGCACCTTCCCTTAGATTCAGTTGGCATTGTAGCAAGAAAAGATACATGCAACCATAACCCAAAATCCTTTTAACTCCTTCTCTGCCAACAAGGTAGAAGATTGTGAAAGGGACACCTGAATATGAAAATTAACCTGCTTATCCCTGGCAGAAATCAAAAACACTTAGGTAAATAAAATCCAGTACTCTATCGGGTGCAAGACATTTAAAGTTTCAAGGAATTACAGGTCTTGTAAATGGTAACCATTGTTTTTTAGTATAACATAGTATTGGCATTGTTTTTCACATCATTTTCAAATTCTAGCAAATTACACAACATAAGATAATAGATATGCTTGCAATATTCAGAAACACAGTAACAGATTTAAGAATCTAAGGAGTAACGTTCTGTTATCCTGGAAGTAAATAACAGATGTAGTCCAATTTGAAATGTCACTCACATCCATATAGCCTGACTGCAGCTATTCCGTATGTCCCACCTGTACTTGCAGAGTTCACCATACTTTTAGCAACTTTAGCTCACCTAAGCATTCTGCAGAAGGCCATAATTCCTGACTGTCTGCTTCATTTTTAAAAGATTAAGCGTTCAGGCTTTCAGTAAGTTTGGCCGTCTCAAGAAGTGTTAAAGCAAACATGCAAACTAACTGAGTGAGCACAGGGCACAAAACAAGCTTATTTTGCTAGTTCTTTCTGAATGCAAAAGACTACTTTGTTCATTGCAAACAATTTCTTCACATATCAAATGTAAAAGACTACTCTGTTGAGAGATCTTGCCTCAGCTCTAGAAAACTTCGTAAATTTATTGGAATTCTGCTTTGCAAAACCTCTAAAATGCCCAATACACACACATAGGTGCTTATGAGCATAATTAGCAGACATCTGCATTTCAAAATTCATACTGGATTTGGCTTTTTTAGTTAAAAACAGCTGAACAAATTGCAGTAGATGAGAGAACGGAAAAAAAAAAACACCAGATTTTCCAACCCATTTCAATTGCTTGTTTCCTAATGATTTCCTGATGTTTCCTAATGGTAAGGATCGTTTCTGCAGAATTGCTACAGTTTCATTTTGCTTCTTCATTTACTGTTTATTGTATCCAGAAATACTCCTTAATGGATTGATTACATCATCCATGACACTCATATGATGCTTTCTTTACAAGTAGAGAAAACAGTTTCGAACATTATAGAGAAATGAAAAGTTCACTGAGTCTTCATCCAAAACCTCTTCCTGTTATGATCATGCATAGACACCAGAGGGTTACACACAGAAGAATACAGACTGGAGTTCTGACAAACAGTTAAGGATATGATTTCTGGAACTTGCAGACCTACCACCAGCAACCATTGGCAAATATCTCCCCTGAAGAACTCAATTATTAAGGAGATTAGTCATTAGGAGACACACATGCTCTGTCTGGCAATGATCTAAACCTGTTATTTTGGTTTTCCAAAAAAAATGAACAAGGAAACGCAGTACATTTTGAAAGTCTCACAATGTACCTCTTGGGGCTAAAACAATGAAGTAAATGCTGCTCATGATTTTGCAGAATAATGAAAATCTCTACAGACTAACAATTAATATAGATCTTTTCTTAAGCACACAGCCTGAAGGGCAAATACCACAATTCCTGCAAAACACAAGTGGCTTGCATACTCACAAATAGTCTAAATCAAGAAGAGTACTCATGAAATTAGTACTTAAATCTGAATAAATTGCAGAATCTGTTCTTGAATGTAACTCTCAAACCATGGAATCTCCACAAAAATCTCAGGTGAGTGCTCTATGCCAGTGCATCCCCACATACTTTCCCTGTGCGTACAGGGCATCATCTTCCCCCTCCAGAAACAAAGCCAGGAATGGCAGCTGTTATTTCCATAGCAACTCTAACCCACCAAAAAGTAAAGCATGTGGAAAAATTCAGAGAAACAGAGTATCCACCAATTATTTATACAAGCTATGCTGAATAGCTTTTTCAATGTATTAAAGTGTGCCCTTTATGCAGGTTTGTAAAACACTCTTCTTTTTGCTAATAGCTATTAACTTCAGGTTTAGTGTTTGTTTTTTTAAAGAATGCACAAATCTCTCAGTATTCAACTACATTTCAAAAGACACTACAGTGACATAGCTGAACGAAAACAAGAATAAAGCTTTAGACCTTTTATTTTGAATCTAAAAAAGTCCACAAACAAGGACACCACAAATACTATATTTGCATTTTTTTCACGATAAGTATAAAATTACTTTCCTATCATTAAAAAGACATTAAAGTATTACTCACTATTAAGCGATCATCTCGTCCCATTGTAATAACAGTTCTGTTCACTGTGCGTAATAACTGTACCATTATTTCTTGAATATGGTGATAAGTTGATGCCTGTAATTGAAAACAAGCAGTTTTGGTATTAAATCCATCTCTCTTGTAAAAGAAAGCAGCAGCCAATTATTTTACACATTGACAGTTCAAGTTGTATAATATAACCACCCTATTGGAAGAACAACACTGTCTTCTTGCTCACATTGCTCCTTAGTTCCAGCAATGTCAGTGGAATACTTATTTCAAGCGGCACAGTCCAATTTTAGGCCTATCTATCACATAATTGTTTTTTGTTTCAAGCAGTCACTTCCCATCCCTGACTCACAGGACTCATGTTTTCCCAGTAACTGAGTAGCCTATAACTTAATAACAACAACGCAGGAACAGAGAATTGAGGCAAATTGTATCATAGTTCTCCACATCTGTCAATGGCCCTCAGGGTAGTCTGGAGCTCAGTAATATCGATAGCTTGCAGATGCAAAGCGTATCACTATTAAAGGAGAAAGTTATCTTCATTTCACTTCGCAGCTCTGTGACAGCACAAACTGAAGTTGGTCTGCTCTTTGGTCCCATTGCCAAAGTACTGGTCATGTTGCTTGCAAAAGGACACTTGATTATTTATTTTAAAACACTGAGCAGAGGGGTATAACCTTATATTCACCAATTTCACTAACCTTACTCTGATAACTAGAAAACTTTGGAAACTAGCATGCCACAATCAAAGAAAGAAAAAGTCGAAACAAATTTCTAACAGAAAAAAAAAAATTCTTACACCAAACAAGGCACCTCTTTAACATCACATGTACTATGGAAAGAACACCACAATCACAGAAGCCATGGTGATTTCTTAACAATATTTTAGTTGGCCAAGCTCCAATACCACCCCAGGAGAAACTGTCTCATTCTCATCAACTGGAAAATACAAACATCAAATTGAGAAACTGCATTGTTTGTAAAGCTTCCTCCCCCTAACTACAAAAATTAAACACAGCAATTATGTGTACTTTTATCTTAAGCATAAATCAAGCCCCTTAAAGGTATATGGCTACACCTATATCATCAATTTGGTTCAGAACAATTTTGAGGCAAATCCCTTGATCACTTCCATTTACCACGTACTGCTTCTGAGTGGTTTTGTTGCACACAGAATAGATTCATTCCAGATAGATATAAGCTAGAAGCTCCTTGAAAGTGCTAGAAATGAAGACATTAGGTTCTTGAACAATGTTTGGGCCACACCAATATAAGGTACCGCAGCATGTTTCTAAACTGTCTGCCTTCAGAAAGCTGGGCCATATGCATAATGGAGATGTTTGAACCACAGTATCAGACCATATCTTACTCACTGTAAACTCCCCAAGCCATGTACAACAGATTGATTACAAGCTCAACAACAAACCACATCAATCTAGTGTACACTCATGTTGTGACACATTCCTTGCTAATGCAGACATCACCAAAACATCCTACACAGCCAAGGCAAAAAACACTGAAGGGGAAGTCACATTAAACAAAGCGAACATGGTATAGAGATGTTTTTGCTGATACTTCTTAATATTCATTTGAAGGTATGGGAAGCTGCCTGCTGTAACAGTGACTACCTTCTGACAACAGTCTGTAAAAACACTAAAATTCACAGCACGCAGCCAGTTATTTTCTTTTCACCCAGGAAAGATACTATGTCTCACTGCAAGAACTGCAACACTTAAACAGCTTTCTGGTTAGAACCCTCCATGCAGCTACCACACCAAATGTAGAGATAAAAAATGGTGTCTCAGCTGAAATTGTTATCTGCAATAATGCAAGAAATAGCCTATGATTCTATGGTTTGGCCTCTGTTACAACTCAAGATATATTCATTAATCATAGCTGTTCCTATAATATTGATTACCACTATAATTAAAAAAATCAACAGTCAAGAAACGCAAACTATGTAGTAGCACTTCGCACACTTTCCTTGGGCACAAGGAAGTCACTTGGTCACTAGTTTACCTTTTTTTTTTTTTTTTTAAATTCAAAGATGAGGGCTCTTTAACCTCACTTCCTTCCACATTGCAGTATGTGCTATACCATTATTAGTAACAGTTCAGAACATTACATTATGATTTTAACATTCAGCCATGACTCCATTATTAAAGATTAGCTCTATTCTGAATTCACAAGTAGCACATAACACACCTTTCCTGGAAAAAATACAGCATCTGCTCAAGCATGCAGAGGTTATTTTCTGCTAAGCCTTTGAATTCTCAGAGAAAAGTTAGCAAATGAATTAAAATGGTTTCTTTATGAAACTGAGACTACTACCTTTCTTTTTAATAATCTAAGAAACAATTAAGCATTCAATACTGACATTGCTAACCTAACAAAAACAGTTTTTTCACACATTGCCTCTATGAAAGACTTCAGTTTTACTTTAACAGCTTCTAGCTTCAGAAGACAGTCTATCAACCCACTGTAACATGCATTTTCTTAGATTGTATTTCACTTCACAAGGATGACATGTTTTTTAGTGAAACCTGGAAAACCCACCATTTGATTAAACATTAGACTTTTCAGAAGCTAAACTAATAACTTGTACCATATACAAATGCTTCCTTGGAAAACACAAACTGTATTATTCCATTTTATGGAATATGGTCATGAAAAATGTATGCTTGTCTTCACTGTTGAAAAGGATTTGCTAGGAGACCAAGGCATGAAACAATCAGAGGTCATACACGGTATGCAGGTTAGCAGTAGGAAGTTCTCTCACAGAACTCAAATGTCTTCAGATTCATTGATGGGATGGATGGCACACATTCATATACATACATTAGTTAACAGAAAATCCAAACCAAACAAAATTTCAGTCTCTCTAAAAATAGCCGTGCAGGGTAATGGCAGTGAGTGTTTGATTTAGCTTTCATATTCTATTTAAACTTCTACAGGGTTGGGACAAAAATAAAGAGTAATTCCATTGTCTCAGAGTCAATCATGCACTTCAGAATATGATAGAGTGCTCATTTATTTGGACAGTGACAAACATGGACTAACTGAATGGCTCCTTCAGAATCATGGTATTACACAACCTGTACTTCAGATACCCACTTGGAGATATCTCTTCAGTCAATTCGTTTCAGCTGTCCCAGCTGTGACCTCTGGCAAGCTCTTGCCCAACTCTAGCCTACGCCTTGGCATGGGGCAGAGTGAGAAACAGAGAAGGTCTTGACACTGTGCAAGCACTGTTCAGCAATTACTAAAATTTTCATTGGTATGTTATCAACACTGTTTTGGTCACAAATCTAAAACACAGCACCATATGGGCTGCCACAAAGGAAAAGAACTCTATACAACCAGATCCAGTACGCTCGCTCTCTTATGCATCCAGTTCTATAACTTTGTGTTTCCCCTCTGACAAACACACAAAATAAGAGCACACATAAAAGGATAAAGTTTTTTTTTTTTTAGATCACATAGTTCATAATCATGCATCGTTCTGATTGAAAATTGTCTGCAGAAGAACTTAAGGTAACTGGCCCTAACAAACCACGCAGACTCGCTAACTAAATTCCTTTGAAACTCTCTTTTGCTAAAGTCTTGAGATCTGCCGTAAGTTAGGCAAATGCTTTACAAATTTCTGCACAATTCTACAACACTTCCAGACTTGTTTGCTAATATAATCAACTTAAAATGCAGCTGCTGCCAATTAGCGACTTTGTGCACAGAACAGGCAAAGATTATACAGCTCACTTGCACTCGTAGTCTCAACCAAGATTTTATTTTGGATTCCAAGAGAAAGAGTTCACCGTTATATTTAATCATGTAAGCACTATAAACAAAAATTTGTTCTGATACAGTAAATATTAAACTATGGGATACATGTTAGATTAGAGACAAAGTCACCTTATGAAGGGCTGTCAGATTGCACACGAAGTTGTTGTAAAGGGGGAAAAGGGAAGTGCATTTAATTAAAACAGAAAGAAAAAGTCACAGATTTCACCACAGCCTTCATCAATGACTTACTTTCAGTTCTGAGCTTTAATTGTATTTCACAGGTGCTGAAAGTACACAGTTTCACGCTATGAAACTAATGTTTGACATGATTCAGTCAAAACAATGTCATCTATGTCTAAATGTTGTTTGCTGCAGAGGACATTTAAAATCAAACATAAGCATCTCACCTAGATGCCTAGCAATGACTGCCTATTCATAAAAATAAAGTCCTTAACATAAACCAGTGTTCTTAATAATGTACTTGCTACCTGCAGAACCCAGCAGCTGGACAGCAGCTGAAGAGAACAGTGTTTGAACACAAGGAACTGATGATTCACATCACTTCCCACTTGCCAAACAATGCAGGGCAAAACAGTAGGGCAGAGCTGGCAATATCTCAATATCTTTTTCTTTGACAAAGAAAATACATTCTTCAAAAATTCTGTAACAACTTCAAAGATGATCTCACCATATAAATTTTGACCACACAAAACACAGACCAACTACAGCTGCTTCTTTCTGTCTTTTGTGTATATTCTACTTCTGGCAATTTCCACAGAATAAATCCAATGCAAAAATATCAAAGCTAAGTTTACAAAAAGTTTTAAATACTAATCCAAAGCCAGATTTCTCCATTGAGACAGAAAACCAAAAGAAACATGGACAAGATATTGGTCTTTTCAAGATAGAGTTAAGCTTACAATTAATATTGTAAACTGAGTCTGTCACTAATGCCTGAAGTTTTCTCCTCCAGCAGGTCAAATCATCCGTCTTCTTAGAAAGATGCTAAGAGATACAGGAAATTAATTGTTCAATAGAAAATGGACCTTAAGTTTCAAGCGCAATCCCACAAGAAATAATTTGGTTAATTACTAAAACAATAGATAACACTGAAAAAAGGCATTCTGAAGGAGATCACCTAAATACTACTATCATAATAATCTGGCCGTATAGTGAATCTTTTCCATTTGCCAGTACGAGTATGGGATATGAAGTATTTTTCATTGCAAGTCAAAACTGTACATCATTGAAACCAGATTTTTCAGTTTAGCTGGAAAGTAAGCATGCATGTTGCACGCAAGAGAAATCTCCACTGTCTCTTAAAGATGAAGTACTGTCTGATGCCTTATATACTGCTGTATTGAAGGTGTTCCCTTCCTTTGGTCTTCTTCCCTCCTTCAGACAAGTAGTCTCAAAAGCAGGTTTTTTTAGTACTAAAGCAGGACCAGTGTCTAGCATAGCTAAAAAAAAAAAAAAAAAAAAACCTTTATAACCCATGGATAATCTGTCAAGGAAAAAAAGAAATTACTAGTGATAGTCAAGCATTTGCTGTTGTAGTTAAAAAAACAGTCATATTCAATGACATAGGCCTGAATATATTCTAGCATCCATATTGTCTCTGATCAGCAATTGTATTGCCAGAAGGCATGTCAGGGTATGTATTTTTCTCAACAGAAACATCTAGTTCTTTTGTTGATGTCCCAACTATTCTACAATGTTTCCTATACTCATGAATCTGATGCCTCAGGAGGGGTCGTCACATGCTGATACCACTACTGGATTTAAACCTACTTCAAGGGACTTTTCTTCTTATATTAGAAATTCATCAGTATTCATTGCAAAAGTTATCTGTAGATAACTGCCACTCAAACATCTCAGGGAATCTCCAGTTTACAGGTTACCTTCCTTAAAAGAAGCTATCGAAGAAATACCATTCGTTTTAATCAAATGTGAATGTGTTTGGATTTTTTTAAATTCATGTTTTTTAAATTCTCACCAATTTTCATGATGTAATGGGTTACATGTTACCTAAAAAGCCGTTGTTTGTCATAATGCAAAAAGGTTTGCCTGGCTACCTCATTCAACAGGAGTAAAGGCACAGAATGCATTACCTGCTTTTAAACAACTTTATTCTATACAAATCACATAAATTTAATTGGATTGTTAAAAGACTGAAGTCCAAATCTGTGAAGAGTACAATCACCCATTAACTGTCTGGTCTCCAGCTGCGTTTAAACATAGACATCACACTGATCGGTGGAAAAGAAATCCAACCAAAAAAATCCTATTACTAAAGATAATGTTCTCCTCCGTGATAAAAATGCATTTGATTTTAAATACAGCTAAGCATTTGCCTAATATCAAGGGAGAACATCTGAAGGAAAAAATATTAAGAGCTTTTCATAAGCTCTCAGCAGCACCATGTTAACCAAGTAGTTTTCAACTAAAGGGTTCCCAAATGAAATCTAAAGTATTTGTCTAATTATTTTTTCAAGTCTTTAATGCATATGTACATTAATGCATTCGCAGAACTGTCCAGAACCAGTAGTTACAAACCTCTCAAACATGGAATTTATTGAAACAAATACTTGCTTTTCTTCAATCACCTTTGCACTTTATTTACACCTCCTTTCTGTAGACATTTCCATAGGGGTTATCAGCTCAGATATAGGTCATCTTCCATCCCCCAAGTTTTATGTTTTTACTAATAATGATGAATTAAACAAACAAACAAATCTATCTACACTTTAAAATATTTTGTTCCCAACAAGAGAAACTTACAAGCATTTCCAAAAATGAAAAAAAAATTTATTAGCAAGAATTCTACTTAGTAACTGGTTTTGTGGCAACAGTCACACTTAACATATGAATAAGACACAGGTTGAAAGGGTGCTTTCTTTAGAAACAGTAATTTGAGAAATAAATAAAATGGGATGCCTTTTAAAAAACCTTGCATTTTCAAAGGTTTCTTCTCTGGAAAACAGCTCATAGCCTTTCTATATCGTTCTGTATATCTCATTTCCTACTCTTGGAAAATGGACAAGTTGGAATCTACAAAATAGTTTTCAGACTGCATGAGGTTACATATGTGCATAGCAAGCAACAAGAATCTGACTTCGTGCTGTTCTGCATATAGCAATGCTCTCACTCATACAAGCATGAGCTACAAACCCATATTTTCAGTAGGCACTAACAAATCTTTGACATGCCAGCTACTGTTAAGATGGACAGCAACTGTTTAGTTTCAAATAAGCTTAATTTATGTGGTACACATGCAGAAAGCATCAATCCATCTTACTTTACGACTGCGTTTCATCTTTTAAAGTATACAGTAATCAAACCGGTTTACTTTACATTACAGACCTATAAATTTTAACTCGACTCTTTGCCCTATCATGCTTTCACCATTTATCTTATGAATTTCATTTGAAACTCAAATGTTCCAATACCTCTCAAGCATCACCTTGTAGTAATCCCTCCTGAAGCGCTTATGTCTAAAACAATGAGGAAAATAGCTCATAATACACAGGAAAATATTGCCCTGTGCAAACAGAGAAGCCTCTTCAGTTCCAAACTCAAAGATTTTTATGAAACCAAGCAACATGCTGTAATGATTTCATTAGTAGAAAATGATCCAAGGATCCATAGTGAAAAACCACTAAAATGACAACTTCCCTTCATCCAAAGCCTACAAAGTTTGAACACATGTATCGGAAAAACATAGCTCAGGAGAAATCAGCAATATTCACAGGAGAAATTACAACTTTCCTAATGTAATTAATTATGATATTTTCTCAGAATAAATGCCTCAAATTATCATGAAATTTCATCGAATAACCTACTGCTCAGTAAAAAGCAAGGGACTAAAAAGTCAATTCAATATTCTCTCAAATGAGAAAAGCAACCACCCAGATAAAAATTTCTACAGTGCTCCAAAACTTCACAAGCCTGAGAAAGAAATCGCAAAGTAAAGTATAGTAAAGAGTAATCTGTTTTACATAGACATTGCTGAAAGCAGAAACCATAAGCTACAACATTTGTACATTGAAAAGCATTTCTTTCAGAAACTAGAAAAGTTTTTATAAAAAGAAACAAGATTATATTTGAAAATTATTCTGAATGCTTAGAATAATAATAGAAACATCATATAGTCTGGGTTGAAAGGGATCTTTAAAGGTCATCTAGTTCAATCCCCCTGCCATGAGCAGGGACATCTTCAACTAGATAAGGGTGCTCACAGCCCCGTCTAACCTGACCTTGAATATTTCCAGGGATCGGGCATCTACCACCTCTCTGGGCAACCTGTGCCAGTGTTTCATCGCCCCCATCATAAAAAATGTCTTCCTTCTATCTAGCCTAAATCTACCCTTTTCGGTTTAAAAAGGCTACCCCTTGTCCTGTCACTACCTGCCTTTGTAAAAAGTCCCTCCTCAGCTTTCTTGTAGGCCCCTTTAGGTACTGGAAGGCTGCTTTAAGGTCTCCCTGGAGCCTTCTTTTCTCCAGGCTGAACAGCCCCAACTCTCTCAGCCTGTCCTCACAGGAGAGGTGCTCCAGCCCTCGGATCATCTTCGTGGCCTCCTCTGGACTCACTCCAACAGGTCCATGTCCTTCTTGTGCTGGAGACTGCAGAGTTGAGGGCAGTACTGCAGGGAGGGTCTCACCAGTGTGGGGTAGAGGGGCAGAATCCCCTCCCTCGACCTGCTGGTCACGTTGCTTTCGATGCGGCCCAGGATCTGGTTGGTTTTCTGGGCTGCCAGTGCACATTGCCAGCTCATGTCCAGCTTTTCATCTACCAGTACCCCCAAGTCCTTCTCCTCAGGGCTGCTCTCCATCCCTTCATCCCTCAGCCTTTATTGATACTGGGGGTTTCCCAGACCCAGGTGCAGGAACTTGCACTTGGCTTTGCTGAACTTCATGAAGTTCACATGGGCACACTTCATCAGCTTGTCCAGGTCCCTCTGAATAGCATTCCATCCCTCAAGCATGTCAACCAAACCACTCAACTTGGTGTCATAATATTCTAATTCATATCAGTATGTATTCCATTGAACTTTACCAATCAAAACTAGAAGTGCCTAAACCTCTGCCAGGAAAAAACACAGCAGCCTCACTGCTTTTAATAATACTATGGTGATTTACAGCAGCTGACTATTTAAGAATATAAAATTGCGAAATAAAAAAAGATAGCACAGATATCAGTACTTCACCTTTAATATTCCAACCGCCCTTTAACTTAAGTTTATGAAAAATAGGAGAAAAGTTCAATTTGCCACTGACTTGTATTAAAAATTTAAATGAGCTTCATCAGCATCAATAATTTACAACCTAATCAGCTCAGACTTACTACAGACTTGGGCCATCTACATCATCATCAATACTTACAGGGTCTTGACAGCTCAGAACCTCCAGGATGCTATTGAGTAATTCAACACAGTACTTCTTCTCCTGGACCTGGAGCTGCTGATCATCCTTCTGTTCCAGTAATTCCTTCAGCTCTTTTGTAATCACAGGAAGCAGAATGTCCCTGCATTCTGAAAGCAAGCAAATTATCTTAAGAACAAATATCAATCAAATACTACTTGCAAATAAACCCTCCTCCAAACAGTGAAACACAATATGCTTTAACAGTTACAGTCCCTTCCAATGTGGAATTGCTGGTTTTCCAATCATCCCTCAGGATGATTATTTTAGATTTAGATACTCTAAAACTTGTGTGCTATTTTTGTAAGTCAATAGTATTTCCCATATATGAAAAACATAACTTCCTGATAATTTCTTTCAGTTAAATTTTGAAAGATGTTTAGCTTGTCCAAAACACTTAGGGACAAATTATTCATTTCATATACAAAGCACCTAGAAATAAGCTATGTTTAAATAGTGACAGGATTTTAATGTAAGAAAAATACTATATTTATTAATTATTCTTTTTAAGACACAAACAGCAACAGAATTGGTTTATGTGCATAATTTTGAAATATACCTGCTAAGAACACATAAAAGAATGCAGACAAGGAAAAGACTCTAATGAAAGACCTATCACACCTATGAGGGTGAGCGCCACACATACATTCATCCTTATTTAAATTCAAGGAAGCTGACACAAATAGTAATTTACATTTCAATCTCACATGTACATTGACTTTTTAAGACAGAAGTGGTTATAGGAAATGTTGGGAGGACAAGATGCACAAATTATAAATAACTTCAAAGGCACTGTCTATCTAGGAACAAAAGATAGAGATTTTTCTTCTAATTTAATTGATACATGCCACTGAGTGATTTAAGTAGCAGCTTCTACAACAGTGCTACGAAAATAACCTGGGAAACAGAGCTAAATGTAGCTTCAAATGTTCCACCTCAGAATAAAATTTGTATAGAACTAGAGAAACGTTCTAGTCACAGGCAATGAGCTGAAGTTCTTACTCTTTTCCACTCAACCGATTTCTTACTGCTTAAAATTGTTTGTCTTAGCTCTCTGGAAAAATATTTATATCACCAATTGGATACTACTTTCTATCAATACCACATATTACAGTTTCTGAAAAATTAATAGAACAAAACTAGAAAACTTAATTACTGAAAACAAAAGTGAAAATGTGGCTTTTTATTTTTTCTTTTAAGAATGATTTAGAACACCTTTACCTGGACATACAGCACACTCGCGGAGTGTGAGATGTGTGAAACTCTATCCAATGTGGTTTAAAACAAGCCAGGGGCTCAGAATCCCCCCAAAATAAGGGTGCTAGTATAGCAAGACAGGAGAGTAAAAAAGAAAGAGAGGAAAAGAGTGGGAAGTAGATTATAAACTCCTGAATTTTGTAGATGAAACAACAGAAGCTATCCATGCAGATTATTCTTATTTCAAGTAACAGCTCTAAGCCATATAAAGCCAGGAATTTTTATTCATGTATAAGAGGCAGCATAATTTCTTGCCTCACAAAGTATCTCTACTCTTGGTAAGGCCACAATGTGAACAAAAAGCTATTGATCTAATTTTCTATAACCCTTGTTCCAAGCTACAAGAAAAATCTTACTCAATGACTAAATTACAAACTCACTAGTAAAACAGCAGTTAAAGAACACATATCAACATAAGACCTGTTCAAAGAGCAGGATAAAAAAAGAATTTCACACAGCTTACAGTTCATTTACATGACCAATTCCGCACAGACGAGCTTCCTGCACTTAATGCAGGTCAGGCTACCGCTCTGATTCAGAAACCAAATAGCTGCACTTACAAAGCACTTAGCACAGCATACTAACACTCCTGAGGCATTTCAGTATGGATTTGTGTTCATGGAGACAGAGAAAAACTCCCCTCCAAAAGTCATCCACACTGATAGATTTGTAGTCACCAGCTGCAGACATCAAACATTATACAGTTTTCTGAAACTGAGATGTAATTTGATAATCAGCAACTTCTTTCTTGACTTGCTCATATGAACCCACTTCTAATAACTAATTGTAAATACATCAAATGCAATGCCATTAACTTCTTGACCAAAAACTGAACCAAATAAACATCATTAGCAACGTTAAAAGTTACATGCAATACCTTTAAAACTTGCTGAAATGTGACTAGTACTTTCTTTTTTAATAAAGGGCTAACATATTCAGTCAACAAATAAGTAGAAATTATAAATTAGATTATTACCTACCTACTTTTTCAAAAGCTAGAAAACAAACTTTAATTCTGCTTTCATTGCAATCAGTGCAAACTCCCCTTCCACAGTCTAGGGTTATTCAGGGAGGGGGAGAAACAGTTCACAGTACGATCAGTTCAGGATTCATTCATTGTTCTGACCACTCCAAAAATATTTAAGATACCTTTTCCTTTGGACATAACATTTATTGCTAACCAAGTTCCATTTCATGATGGCTATGAAAAAGACCATAAGTGTATTAGTGTAAACACCTGTTAAACCTATTAGTATAAACACCCATTTCTCTAAAATAGCAATGACTGTTTCATTCCCACTGCACAGTTGAGCTGAAAGAGTTATTTGCCAGACTTTTAACTTCTCCATACAGTCCATATGCTGCTGAGATAGAAGCTGCGTGTCACCCCAGCGAGATACATGCAAAGAACTTGCTTACAAAGTTTTAACAGAGAAATTAAAATGGGACTGCAGTGGATTTCCAGTCTGTTACTGAAAGATGGCATGCATTTAACAGACTTTAAAGTGGATCAGACAAAAAAAATAAATAAATAAATAAAAGAGACTCACAACTGAAACAAGCAGTTCTGGGTATAAGCAAAAACTTCTTCCTCGTGAAGACAGTCTGGCAGTGGAATGAACAGGTTACCCAGTCTCTATCATTAGAGGGTTTTGAGACCCACCCGGAGCAAGCCCAGAGGAACCTGGTCTGACCTCAGAGCTGATCCCATTTTGAGTGGAAGGTTGGACTAGACACATTCCCAGGTTCATTTTAAACTTGAACTATTCTACAATCCTTTATTGCAAAGATTGCTAATTAATGGTAGCGTAGCAGTAGCTTGGGGCACTGCAAATGACCAGTTGCTAATCATCAGGAACAGAAGATAGTAGCCAACCACTGGATAACAACTGCCAGCACATGGAAAAAAATTTACAGGAGACTGCCAGATTTCTGGGAAATGAACGGAGGCTGTCAGAGAGTTAGGAACAAAGATAAATCTCTACGTATATACCTATATATGTAAATCATGACATCTTTAGGGCTTGTCATTTTTTTCATCCATAGACTCAAGTGACAAGGTTTCCAATACCAGAAGAGACGACATCAGAATCATGACTCTAAAGACAGATGGGAGAAACCTATTTTTTGTCAATTCAGTCCATAGCACTTGCACAGCATCTGTGGAGAGGCAAAAGTTTGCTTCACATATATTTAACCTGTATGAAAATACACATGCAGCAAGCACTGAGGGCTGTCAAAAATTCAATTTCACTTTTCTGATACCCACTCTGCCTCATCCCTGTTTTCCTTTTCAGATTCTCTAACTGCATGCAAGATGTACTGAGGAAATGATACATCACAAGCTAAACTCCCCATCTTTCCTACAGCATTGTTGATCCAATACAGTAACCCACATGACAGGCAATAAAGCTTATCTGCATACAGTATCACTATAGAGATTTGTCTGCAGTTATATCTACATCTACACATGGCAACATTTTGCGTCACAAGTTCTCTGCTCTAAACCTGCTGTGTACAAACTCCACTTCTTACAAAGATGCCTAACTGTTACTCTAACATTCTGCAACAGGCACAGTAAGAGCTACAATTAATACAACATGAAGATGGACACATTTAGACAAACACATTCAACCTTTAACTAATCTGCAATCACATGTCACAGGAATATAGATTCCAAATCAACAGCATGTAAGAAATTTAGCTGGTAACCGTCTTCTCATAACTACCATTCTTTAAAACAGTGCCTTTAAAACATTTCCACTTCAAAAAAACATCAGTAGGTACTGCTATGCTAACAGGTCTGTTCATAACAACAAAGTTGAAAGACATGTCAAATTGCGTGACATCTCAGCCACTTTGCACCACTCACAACAAGGACAGAACATTATATGCACATACCAGTTTCACATCTGCCACAATAAACATAGTTACTGCACCCACTGCTCCAAAACAATATCCAGCTCAATTTTTAAGCCATTAAGATCTCCCTTGAAATGCCTCACAGCTAGCAAATATAAAAATCCTCTTTGGGTAGCTTTTAAAGTTACAGGAAGCAACTGGTTAATAAATCATAATCAAAATCTATACTTAATGAGCTTTATTTCACAAGTAAGACACTGGATTGAACAAAGTCATGGATCAAGGGGAATCCTGTATTTTAGCTAAAGTACATTTTAAATTTATACTCATACAGGAAAAAAACCTAGGACTTCAAGGCAGGTATTATGTGTATATTAATCACCAAGTTACATCTGACTTCACATGCCAGTGATACCCATTTGACCAATAATCGGGAAGCACAGAGGAGATCACAAGTTACAAGTTGCACTGGACACCTGAAAGAGAAGTGGAAGTAAACTTCATTGAATTTAAAACTCCTCCATACCAGGGTTTCAGAAGCCATTTAAAACTCTTCCTATGAGAATGCAAAATGTCCACTGTTGTCTATAACTCATTTAAACACCACACACACATATTTTGGTGAAAGAAATAAGTTTTTGACATAATTCTCCTTCTGCATAAAGCCATTCCATACTATTTAAACATTACGAAAGCAGGGCTTCTTGCATAGACAAAATTTTCCTATTGCACTGAGAGGACAGCTGAGGCAGAAGGTACAATTGATTTCCTCCAGTTTTAAGAGCTAATTACTCTGCAAGCTTCATTACTCCCAGTTGTACTTTGCATTATAAATTAAAATTTGATCCATATTTGATTCATATAGAATCTATTAAAAGGACTCAACATATGCAGCTGATCAATTATTTACAGTGCATTTTCAGACGTGAACAATGTTGAAGTGTCAAGCTGCATGGAAATTCAAAGGTCATGTAACTAACCTTAGTTGTAT